GGATTGAGAGAGGGCACAGAAGGTGCTGGAGGCTTTCCCTGGGCAATCTCCAATTCCACAGGGCCACCTCTGTGTCACTTGACTTCTGAGCAATGTAAACCCAGACTACTGAAGGCTCCTGACCTTGCAAATAAGGCCAGAAAGATCCGTAATCTGTGTCTGAGTGAGAGCCAGCAGGTTTTCAGACAGGTTTTAGGAGGGCCTGGTTCGGGTGATGCAGCCTCTGCCTTTGGAGAGGGGAGGTCTGTGACATACAGCCAGGATGATCTCTCACAATCATGATCCTTCAGGTGGAGGTTGGAGCACCCCGTGGGACAAGGCTCAGGAGCAGTTTCCAGAGCTGAGCTCCCAAGGCGCCTTATCTTCATCTCTCACTGGATCTATTCAAATGCAATCCAAAGCAGAGGGGTTGGGGATTAGACCTGCTCTGACTTCCCCCAGGGGAAGCAGCAGCTGGGTGGAGAGTGTTTGTTTTGGGTGTTTGTGCCATGGCAGAGGAAGAGGAGACAGCAATGTGAAGTGGCTGCTCCATGTCAGGGCTCAGCTTTGCTTGACAAGCCATCTCTAATTCTTCCTACTATAAACCCAATAAATGGAAATGCTTGAGAAATAATTATAATGCAACTGTCAGGATTAGACCAAAATGAAATAGGAAAACCCCATCTAGGAAGCAGCTACCACTAAGTAATTAATCTTACTCCCATGGATCCTATTTTTCCTGCCTTGTGCTTCAACAACTGAAACGTTCTGGTTTGTGGAGTAGTTTGGATAAAAAGGGGGGTGGGGTGAGGGGAGAAAAGTTGCTTAAAAAGTAAGTCAAAGGCTCCAACATGTGTTCTTGGCCAGTTGAATTCAAGATGAGGGTTTTAGGCTTCCCATGGGAGCTCCCTTTCACAGCTCCCCCCTAATCCTCTGGAAATCGCCCGTTCCCTACAGCTGCTGGCTCACCAGATGAACTATTTGTTCAATTATTCTTGGCCGCGCTAGCTCGGGCTGCTCAAAGCCGCTGGCCCCGTCCCTCGGCCCACTTCAATGGCCCCGGGGCAGCCCCAGCCCGTGAGGAGCCCCCGGGCCCCGCTCCGCGCCCGCCCCCGCGGCCCTTTTCATCCGCCCTCCGGCCCGGCCGGGCCGCTGCAGGCCGCGCGGGGAGGGCGGCTCCGGTGTCGGTGTCGGAGCGCTGGGGTGAGAAAATAATTACAAATGAAAGAGAGATTAGCAGGGGCTGTTGCGACAAATGCTGCCGAAATGGTTTCTGGAGCGCCGGCGGAACCTTCTAACGGGAGGGATCGGAGCAGCTGCCGTCCCGTGGGGCGTGGGGAAACAGGGATCCCTCTGGGACCCCGGAATGAGAGCCTAAAACCTGACAAACCGCGGCTCAGGGGGATGAGATGTCAGACCAGGGCAGCCTCACGTCATACAAATGGACTGGTAATAACAAAATTTATTTTTCACATTTCTCTGCCCCTCCACCACCATCCCCCAGTCTCAGTGTTTGCAGAAGTGTTGGAACCCATCTAAAAAATGGCTCCCAGCTGCTGAAAGATGGCTCTTGCCTGGTGCTGGGAATCCTCAGGGTTCATCTAGTGAGGGATCTGAGTCTTTAACCTCTCTGAGATCGTGGAATCACAGAATGTGCTGAGCTGGAAGGGCCCCACAAGGACCATCCAGTCCAACCCTCAGCCCTGCACAGGCCCATCCCCAAGAGTCACCCCCTGTGCCCCAGAGGATCATCCAAACCCTCCTGGAGCTCTGGCAGCCTTGGGGCTGTGCCCACTGCCCTGGGGAGCCTGGGCAGTGCCCAACCAGCCTCTGGGGGAAGAACCTTTGCCTGAGATCCAACCTGACCCTGCCCTGACACAGCTCCAACCATTCCCTGGGTGCTGTCCCTGGTCCCCCCAGAGCAGAGCTCAGTCCCTGCCCCTCCTCTGCCCCTGCCCAGGCAGTTGGAACTGCAGGGAGGTCTCCCCTCAGCCTCCTCTGATGAACACACCAAGTGCCCTCAGTGTCCTCACATGGCTTCATGCAGTTCCTAAATGGTTCATCCTGATTTCAGGTGAAGCCCCATTTGAATTTGCCAAACCTCCCCCCACTTAACCAAAAGGTCAGGAGAGCACATCACAGCTATGCAGATATGCCTGGAGGACTGGACATGGGAAAAACCTTGATGGTCTTTAGATGAGACTGTAAATAGTTGATGGCAAGGTTGGACAGGGATTGGAGCAACCTGGTCTAGTGGAAGGTGTCCCTGCCCTTAGCAGGGGCCAGAATCAGATAATCTTTAGGGCCCCTTTCAACCCAGACCAGTCTGGGATTCTGTGATTCAGCTCCCAGTGGCCATCAGGAGGGAGTAAATCCTGCTCACAAGCAGGCAGAGCAGGAAAACAAGAAGAGATCAAGATGAAGACAAGATCCTTGTCTTCTCATCCATCCAGGCTCACACTGACCAGAAGGAATGGCAGGTTGGGTTTGCTTAGGGCTGATGGACACCGATAATACTTTAACCATCAGCTCTTACATTAGAAGCAGCAGAAAGGTATTGTCTGAATGGAGCTATGTGGAAGCCCTGCCTTGACGGCCATGACAGCGCTAAAGCTTGGTTATCCCATGGGATTATGAGATGATGGTGTTTCTCTCTTTTTCCAGACTCTCAGTTTTGCCTGGTGAGAGGAGATACTGCCCGTGTCACTGTCAGAAATAGTACAGGACAAGGAGAAATGTTTTGGTGAGATGTGCTTCCCTTTGGGCACATAGAATCCTAGAATGAATGGTTTGGGTTGGAAGAAACCTTAAAGCTCATCTCATTCCACCCCCTGCTATGGGCAGGGACACCTTCCACTAGCCCAGGTTGCTCCAAGCCCCGTCCAACCTGGCCTTGGACACTTCCAGGGATCCAGGGGCAGCCACAGCTTCTCTGGGCAACCTGTGCCAGGGCCTCCCCACCCTCACCAGGAAGGATTTCTTCCCAATATCCAATCTAAACTTACTCTTTCTATTTGGAACTCTCATGTCCCTGTTTCCCCTGTCCAATGCTTGCAGCACTGGAGCAGAGGCACTGGAGCATCCCCCTGCTTTGGGTTTTCTCCCCCCAAATTTTGAAGAGAAAAGGGATGTACATCCTCCCCACACCTGCATCTGTTTCTCAACCTCCGTCTTATTCCTCCCTCCCTTCCACCCATCCTCCTTCCATCACCCCCAGGTCTCTCCCAGCTGCTCCTCACATCTCCCGAGCCCCAGCAATTGCTCTTGAAGCAACACATCAAAACACCATTAGCTCCTCCCGGCCAGTCTGGCTCCCCCCGTCCCAGGACAGGCTGGCGCTGACACATCCCGCCTGGCACTTTGAAGCCCCCGCCCGGCTCTGCGGGGACAGCTGGGCTGTGCCACAATCCCTTCGGCCCTTTGGGCTAAGCCGGGCGTTTTAAAATAGTCCCCCCCTCCCTTCCCGGCGTTGACAACTGCACAATTATTTTAGACGCTGTTTATGGACCCATCGCGTAACCGGAGCCTGCGGGAGGAGGAGGAAAGGGGGTGGTGGGCAAAGGGGGCTGGGGAAGAGGGGTTTTCACCCTAATTAGCAGCCCCCTCATTTCTCACAGGTTGCTGGAAAACTCATCCATGCACGTGAAAGCTGCAGCACCAAAGGTGGCTGAAAACAAGCACTTCGCTGCAATCCTTGTTTTTCTAAGGATGGTTTGAATCCCTTGGCATTTGTTTCATGGCCCCCCAAAAGGCAGTGCTACCTCCTCGCTGGAAAACAGATGCTGCCAATCGGGTTGGGACAGTGGGTAGGATTGGGAACTGCCCTGGGTAAGGCCTTGCCTCGTGCCTCAGTTTCCCTGTTGGTAAAACAGGGATGTGATGTCTGGGATGACCCCAGGAAAGGAGGGGAAGGGACAGGGATAGAGCTGGTCTTCCGGAAATCAGTGTGGCAGCCCAGCTGCTGCCAAGTGCCTTTGGAGAGGGAGGGCTGTGGCAAAGTGACACAAGGAGCTTTTCACAGGCAGTGTGGGACTGGCTGGGACTGGGCTCCCCCCAATCCCAAAACGGAGGTGCAGCCCCCGGTTCCCAGACCTGCCCCTTCACACCCCTAAGCATCCCTCGGTGGTGGTGCAGGAACCTTTCTGCGGGCCCTCAGCACCCCCTAGTGTTCCCGAATATTCCCAGGGTTCAGTCCTGCACACCCGAGGCTCGTCTGGTCGTGCCGGGTGACGGCTGGTCCCCGAGGCTGGGGCAGCAGCATCATCCCACATGCCACATCCCTGCATCCACAAGGAACCCCCTCATCCCCGATTACCACCTCTCTTCTCCCATTTAACAACACAAATCCCCAGTGCAACCTCTCAGGTGTGAAGGCTGCTCCCCCAAACCCTCAGGTCTCAAATCCCAAAACATCCTCCTCCGTGGGCATGGATTTACAGGGCAGGCTGGAATCCTTTCCTACCCAAGGTCTCCTCTGCAGAGCGTGAGGAGATGCTGGTTTGTAGCACACTGGAGCTCTGTTTCCATCGCTAAAGGTCAGAAAACATCACGGTTTGAATTCACTCTTCTCCCCTGGTCTCAAGTATGGGTTTTGATGAAATGCAACTTTTAGGACTGAAAAATAAAGGAAAATTAGCAGAAATTATAAATGCTTGTGAATGAGAGCTGGAGTGGGACTGCTGGGGAGGAGAACAGTGGGGTAGATTGTAAAGATGATGAATATGGGGAGGAAACAAATTAAATATCAGTATTAATGACACTTCCCAGAGCTAATTTCAAAGGCAAAGGGCTCAGTATTAATGTGTCAAGGTGACTGAACTGATTTTCCCTCTTTTCAGGTAAAACTACCCACTGCATCTGACCCTGCTGGGCCTTCGCAGCTTTGTGTCTCCAGTAACTTCACAGTCCCTCAGAGATGTTTCTTCCACTCTAGGTGTTGATGATGAAGGTGTCTCCACCAAAATGCCTCTTGTTTATTGGTGACATGGGTATGGACAGCGGGGCCCAGCCCTGCTGGAGAGGTGACATTCCTGCATCTGCCACTGCGATGTGCACTTGCTCCATCACTGCGGAATGGCAGCTGGAAGGAGGGGGAAAATCCCCAAATCCAACCTCCCAGGATGAGAAGATTTAATTTTGGCTAGCTCCCGGGGACAATATTGACGGCACAGCCCTAAGGGCCACCCAGCTCCCTGCACCTCTCCCAGGTGGCTCACTCTCCACGTGAGGTGGTTTCGGGGAGCATTTAATTGCCTTCCTGCTTTTTTTTTTCACTCCACTTCAGCTGTGAGTTGTTTTTTTACCCTGTTAAAATTTCCCATGGAGTTTTACCCTCTTTGGGGTCCCTTTTGGGTGCTGTTGCTGTCACTTTTATCCCTCACCACCTCTCCCTGCACCTCTCTCTCTGTTGTCTGTCACTGTTTCCTCACCCTCTGCCTTCTCCTTCCTTTCCATTACTCTTCTCTGGATACATAATTTTCCTTTTAATGATCTTCTGTCCCTTATTAATGCTTTTTCCATGTCCAAGCACGCTCCAGCCCTGGCATCCAGCTGGGACTGATGCAGTTGGAATCACATCGTGGCTGAGCTCTCCCTGCTTTCATTTCATTCTCTCCTATTCTTACCCAGCTGGGGTCTCAGATCTGTTCATGGGGGGATGTAACAGAAGCCTTTGGGGTTTCCCTTTGCTTATGTCTGCCTTCCTTTCCAAGCTGTGCCCCAAAGCAATCCCTTTCCAGCCTGGCTGTGCACGGATGCTGTGTGCTCCCCACAGCTGCAGATGTGCCGTATCGGATTTATTCACCTCCTCCTTTTGCCATCTGGCAAACTCCTTCCTGGACATCTTTGTGAGGGAACAGAGTGTTTGCAAGAATTAGGTCACATTTGGGCAGAGTTTAAAGGGTCCCTTGCCATCCCCTTTGTTTTTTTCCCAATCTGTACCTCCCCAGGGCTGTATTTCCATTGCTGAAGGTCAATAAATATCCTACCCACAAATATCCTCCCTATCCCACAGTGTGTGGGGAATAAAGCTGCCCATGGAGAGGGATAAATTTAGGTGATGGTGCTTTGGAGCAGCTGCAGGTCTCTGCCCCTTCCCCTGTTCCAAGGTACTTCAGCATCACTGGAGATCTGGGTTGCACGCGATGGGTGAGTGCTCAGTGACAAACAGCCCTGAGATGGGAGGATGCTCTGAAGGGATCCTTCCCTGGGTGCCAGGAAGGCTGAGGGAGATTCCACCGGGAGGTGGCTCACTTAGAAATGGGAGGATGTAGATACAAACCCATTTTCCTGCAGACCCATTGCCTACAGTGGGTGCTGCATCCCACAGCACCTGCTCCTTTAGGAAGGTTTCGTGGGTGCAGGAGGAGGGGAAGGAACACAAGGTGTCATTATTTCAGCTGGAAAACACATCGATATCCCAGTGAGGGAGCAGGTAAATATCTGTGCCTGGCCAGTGTTCCAGCTTGCTTTCCCATTTTCCTGCCTCTGCAGATTGCAGGCAGCTTGTGCACTCATCCCTCCGGATGTGTGTCCACGTGGCAGGTGACTCTGGCACTAGTCCCCTCTGCCAGCACAGGAAAATAAGGGAACTAATTTCCTGGCTCTTACACTCCATCATTTCCCCCATTTCTCTGAGCAATTAGTTCTGAGCTCTTTCTGAGCCCTCCTCTTCCCACTGCCTGTATCACACACTGCATCTGTAGAGACTGCAGGTGCCATCTTATCTTCCCAGAGGGCATCCCGAGATGATTCCCAGGGCAGCACATTCCTGTTTTCTTGGTGATTCCCTGCAGATTTGCATGTCAGTGTGAAGAGACTGTCAGGCTGTTGTTTGCTGCCAGAGCTCCTATGGATGTGTTTAGGAGCTGCAGTTCTGCGTGGGATGAGCAGGGAGAAAATAGACATCAGGAGGTGGAAAATTAGAGATGGGCAGGGCACAAAACAGCTTTTGGAGGCTTCAACATTTCATAGAATAGAAATTATGAATTTTTTTCTGGACTGATTTCATGGGAAGGCAATGAGATTTAGAAATGTTGCTAATTAGGAATTGATCTCTGGGTTTTTTATTCTGGTTCTGCTGTGCTGACCAGAATTCTAGTGGTAGCTCAGCTCCCATGGATGGTGAGAGCCCAGACTGGACACAGGTTTGATGAATTCAAAGCCTTTACATATGATTCCAAGGCTGTTTAAGGAACTGTCTTAAGGGTGCCTGAGCTCTAGGAAGATACAGCTATAAATTAGAGGTGACTTCAGGTTTGTCTTACCAGGAAATTGTTGCTCAGGACAATGTGGAAGTGAGATATTCTGCTGAGGTTCCACCTAATCCCAGCTCAGGGTTGGTCTTTACTACAATAAATGCACACAGAGAGGTTGTTTGTTTCCTTGTAGTAAGATCCACCCCCTACACACCCCGTGATTTGGTTCTGCAAATATTTGAAGGTGCAAATTTCCTGGTAGCCAAGAAACACCAACATGACTTGGCAGAGCATTGGGCATGAACAAACTCCCATTTTAGAGTCAGGTTTAACTAAAGGTTTAGTTTTTAACCATACTCAGCCCTTCTTATGTACCAACTCCATGAACTTCATCACTCACAACTAAGATTTTCTGTGGCATTTTTAGGGTCTCATTTGCAGTTTTGGACATGCCCTGGATTTTTTTTCATGAACTTCCAGCAACTCCCCACTTAAATAACTCTTCATTTTCCCGGGCCCTCCATCTCACCACTTCTTTTGCTTCCATTTGTTTCTCAACCTCAGTTCTGGGGGTTGTTTTTTTGGGTTAAATCCTCCTGTGTGAGGTGAGTGTAAATGCCTTGATTAATTCTGATTTCTTCCAGGGCTTGTGGGACACAGGTTAAAATGTCAGCACTTCCTGGGATGTTCATGAAACAATTTCATGGAGAGACAAGAAGTACCTGCAGCTTGGCCTTTGTCTCTGGAACATTTGAATCATCCCACCTCCTAAAACCATACAGGGTTTGGGCATCCAACCCCACCATTGATAAAAGAGAGGCTGACTGTAGGATGCTTCCTCCTTTTCAGCAGCATCCACCTCTCTGAGAGGTGAGAAAAGATGGATTGATGGCTAATTATTTATTATTTAAAGATTTACCTTTTAAACAGCATTGTGGGACAGGGAGAGAGAATAGATTTGATGCTAATAAATCAAAATAATAATATAACAATATAAGGAAAAGACGGGGGATTTCCAGACAGCACATCTAACCCTCAAGTTGTTTATAAAACAGGGTGGTATTTATATTTAAAATATTTAAAACATTAAAATCGAGCTTTCTTACTACAAATTCCCTGTAGCAGGTGTAGTTGCTCTCAGGGCTGTAAGTAGCTGAGATGTTCCCTAAAAGTGAGTAAAACCCAGGGCTGGAGCACAGAAGGCCCTGTCAGAGTTTCCCTTACAAATAGCCATAATAATGCTTCCCTCTCTCCCAAGGGTGTCGTGTGGGTTAATTATTTAACATTTGTAAAGCACTTGCAGGGCTGGAGATGAAAGTGGAAAGTATTATAAAGGATAAACTCAGTTTTATAGGAGGCCCGGTCAGAAAATTGCGTTTGGATTGAAATATGGGTTCTGAGTGGGGATCCCAGGAGGAGCATCCATCAAACCTGGGAACCACAGAAAATGAAGAACTTTGGAGGAATTAATCCAGTTAATAATGCAGTGTTTTTGGGTGAAGAATGCAGGGACCTGGGGTGTGGAGTAATGCCCCACACAGCTCCCTTGGCCCTGCATGGGGTGGGTGACAGGGGGGTCTGATAGAAGAAAATTTAATAATTGCGTGAAATGTGAGAAAATAAAGATTTTGAGGGGAAAGCCTTGAGACAGCCAGAAGTCGGGAACTCACAGAAGAGTTTTGGGGGAGCAACTGGAAATGACAGTTCCTGTTGTGCACAGGAGTGGGGAATTTTGGTGTCCAGGGCCACTTTTCCCTCCTGGCTGGGGTTTGTGGAGGCTGTGGGCACCCAGGGCTGGCAGGGAGGAGGCGAGTGGGGCAGGGGAGGAGCACGGGTCACCTGGGAGCAGGTGTGGCAGCGGCATCGACGGGGCAGGTAAGGCTCTGCTGCACGGGGAGGGGGCTCGGGAGGGGGAGGTCACCCCACACCATGGGACGAGAGGGGAACCCCCCGCCTGCCCCTTAGGGGACCCCTCAATTTGGATCCAAACCCCATAGGGAGGAAGGAGAGGGGTCAGGGTGGGGTAAACCTGGACCGACTCCCCTTGGGAAAGCAAATTGCGGGGGGGGGGATGCGCTCTGCCCAAGCCATCGGGGTGTCCCAGCACCCTGGAGGGGCACGGGAGGGTTCCTGCTGTCCCTGCCGGGCTGGGAGCGATGGGACAGCCCGGCAAACCCGCAGCAGCGTTTTCCAAGGAGGAAGTTGAAAAATAAACATGGTGTATGGGGCTGAAAGCAGGGAAACGTGAGAGCGGGGCAGCCGGGGGGCAACGAGTCCCCCCCGGACCCCAGCCCTGCCCGCGAGGAGCCCTCGCCGGCTCCCTGCTCCCCTCCCTGCCAAATTAAATGCGAAACCTCCGCCTCGCAACTAAGCCGAAATCGCTGCTCCGGGCACTGAACCAGAAAGTCCCTCCCCACGCTCCTCTCCCCGCAGAGTTGCCCAGAGAAGTCGCTTTTAGTGCCCAAAAAAGTGCAGGTTAGAATCGTAGAATCCCAGCATGGCTTGGGTTGGAAGGGACCTTAAACTCATTTCGTTCCAACCCCTCTGCCATGGACAGGGATGCTTTTCCTGCAGGGGAAGGGTTTCTTCCTTCTTCCTACTGGATTATCACTAAAAAACTAACAACCCCTCTCTTTGGCAGCTCAGGATGTGATCACGGAGGCACAGGGTGCTGGTGGAGGGGGATGCTGTGGGGCCACAGCTCTCTAGGGGGCAGACGTGGCGCTCAGCAGGCTGAGGGTTATGTGTTGTAGGTGAATAATTGGATATTTCTGGGATATATTGCAATGGAAATGGTTTCTTTAGTTGTTTTCCTTGAGGGATGTCGAAGACCTACAGCTCTTACCCCGTGTCACATTCTGGGGCAGTTGGGACAATTTTAGGACAAGCAATCTTCTCTTTGGAAAATGCCCAAAGAAGCTGTGGAGTCCAGAGGAGCTGTGGACACCCCACAACTGGAAGTATTCCAGGTTGGACGGGGCTTGGAGCAACCTAGTGGAAGGTGTCCCTGCCCATGGCAGGGGGTGGAACTGGATGAGCTTTAAGGTCCCTTCCAACCCAAACCATTCTGGAATTCTAGGATCCTATAAATACTGATTTTTGTGGCATTTTTGGTGGTGATAATGTGGCTTTGAGTTTATTTTGGGTTGGTACCTGTGAGGTGATAGGGATTATTGGAGTCAGGGCTAGTCCATCATGGCACATCTCAGAGCCAGAGGGAGCGGTTTGGGGCACAGATGGCACCCACCCCCTTTAGAAAGCGCTTTAATCACTTAAGCATTTTGCAGAGGTGAAGAAAAATGGCTTTTAAGATGGTAGTGTGCATTTCCCCAAACAGATAATTTTTAAATTCAAACCTCAGTGCTGTAAAACCACAAACAAACAAGTGCAGGTCGTAAAGAGAAGGAAAAGGGTGATGAAGTGCCTGCTCTGAGCCCCCGTAATTAAGATGGCTTGAGCTAATTTGTTTTATTTCTGAGCTCTCTCTGCTGGGCTGTAACTTGGAGCTGCTTCTTGCTGCTTCCCTGATGGCAGGGCTTGGAGCAGGGATTGGGATGGAGAGTCTGAAACAGGAGTTTATAAAACAGGCAAAGAAAGGCAGCATAAAGGAGATAGAGAGCAGTATAATCTGTCCATCACCAGTTTTTACGTGTCTCTCTCCCCCAGTGACTCTTTTCAGATGTGTCTATTAAACAGACCTCAGGTCCAGCATCCTGAGTTTAAAGCTTTCATCCCAGTTTGAATTTCCCCACTGAATTTTCCCATTTCAGTGGGTTGGATTATCTCAGTCTATTTTCTCTGTGTCTCTGCAGTCACTGTACAAGCTCCTGCAGCACCTGATGGTCCTTCAGATACTCCCTGACAATTGCGTTTAATAGTTTCCAATGATGATGATAATTTTTTAACCTAAGTCCAAAACCCCTAAGGATCCTTTAGAGGCAGAAAAGTTGCTTTCCTGGCTTTGCAGACACATCTGGGCTCGCCAAGATGAGGGACATGATTGCTCAGTGTCCCTGTTAACGCTCCCCGGCATGGGCAAGGCAAAGAGGAGAAAACCTGACCATAATGGGATGAAATGGTTCAGAATGGGGTTTTAGCCTGACATTAATGCATTAGGGATCCAGCTCCTGAGGGAGCTAATGGAAGTGCTGCTATGATTAGAAATGTCTCTGCAGACAAATAAGCCAGTGCTGGCAGTGGAGTGAGGCGGTGCAGGATACAGGAGAGCTTTTCTTTGTTGGTGATGCCTCTCCTGACATCTTTTGGGTGTCATCTTTCTGTCCTCAGAGGCACAGATCTCTCTGTGTCTGAACCACTGCCTTCTCTCCCAG